CTTCCTCGACCTCGCCCTCGGCCGCGACCAGCACGGTCTCCTCTCCCTCGCTCAGCAAGGACTCAGGGCCCAAGCCGCCTCCCTCCCTCCCTACCTCCCCCCCTTCCTCCCTCGTCATCGTCACGCGCAAGGGACGGTCGAGCCGCTCGCACGCACACAGGGCTTCGCGCCAATCCTCCTCCCCCCTCAAGGAGGGGTGGTCCCCATCCTCGTCATCGTACGTCAAGTGGAGGGAGGCGGGCTCCGCGAGGGACGGGAAGCACACGAGGCCCCTGAAACAGGTGTGGACAGGTCGAGGAGAGGGGTGGAGAGGGGGAGGGATGAGATTGGAAGGAGGATTGGAGGTGTATCGACATATCACGGGCATCCATCTATGCGCCAGGCTCTGCCCATCCCCTTTTCCGTCCCCCTCCCTCGCTCTCTCACGCGTACACGCATCCCCTTCACTTTCTTATTTCTATCTTACCAGGCCAGAAATTGCGCCCACGTAAAGGACCGAGGGTCCACGGTGCGTCTGAAGGTGCGACCCTCATAGGTGAGTTTGACGCGCACGCACCCCATGGCTAGGGACAGCTTGTTGCTCTTGATTTTTGAGAACTTCTTGCGTTTCCCACCGTCACCTGGATCGAGGTAACCTTTTGTTGATAAGATCTTGTTCAGTCTAATCTCAAACATGAGAGTTTTATCGGGAAGGGGAGAGGGAAAGAAAAGGATACGTGAGTGAGGGGAAGCGAAGTGGGGAGGACGAGACGAGGCGAAAGTAGAAGCGGACGACAACGCATTTGCCAAATTCTACGACGCCAATGCACGGCTTTAAATTGATAATGACAGTGAAGCAATTGCTTTCTGTGATGCTACGCACAGTGCAGACTTTATGTGGAGGAGGGGCACTCCTTCGGTCAATGCTGGAGCATAAAATGAAGGACGCATATTCGATAAAATCCTGCACATGTGCCACCAAACCCACCCCTGGCCACAAAGCGCCTGCAAAGCTCGCTATTCTCAAATTGCGCTATCAGATGACGTCCTCCCCACGTTGTGAATACGAATGTCAGAAGCGAGAAGTATGGGAAAGATGATTAGGTTGCACTGGGGCGGGGAATCGTGAGAGTAAAAGGGCTGTGTGACAACAAAATAAATTACGCCTAGACAAGTCATCAACCACGGAAATGACCCAATCAGGGTAAACATCGAAGGCTCCTGGCTCTGTGTGAACGTCTTTCAAAGAACTCCCCCGTGCGATTCATGAGGCAGCGCCCAAAGACACAGGCTTATGTTCCAGTAGCTAGGAGTTCATTGCTTGAAGCGGACGTGCCAGCCTCTAAAACCACCTTGACACCATACAACGACAAGACGCGTCAGCACAAGACTATCTACAACCCCGCACAAGCCATGAGACGCATGAACGCTGATATCAAGATTGTGGTTTTGTCGCGGGTTGTCTGGTTTTGGAGGCGGGTGACACGATGGAAGCTCGCCCGTGGATTTTCGTTCCTGCCACGACGCTTTCACCTCGGCGAGGCGGGTTTTTTCCTCCACTTTTTGAAGGAGCTTACATTTTTGCGACGTAAGCAATAGCTTTCTTTCTTTGTCCTTCCTGAATGAAAACGTCAGGAGCGAGAGGTATGGGAAGAATATCAAGTTGCACAGGGGCGAAAAGGCTAAGGCGTTCATCTTGAAAGAGTTGTCGGAGGAGAAATGAAATAGCATGAAAGACTTTCTTGAATAGAGGCATATTGCGCACATCGAAGTACAGCCTTTACTTACTGCCGAGAGGGCTAGTTCATAGCTTGTGATTGATCCTTTGAATAAGTGATAAGTTGGTCATAAATACACACGCCAGCGCCATTGTATTCATGAGGCTATCCAGGGTAGATGGGCACGCAAAGCACCTTCCTACTCCGATGATTTCTCTCTTCGCAGTCTCCTGACTCTCCGAATGATTTTGACCGCAAGGTGTATTGGACGTTTCTCGGATATCCTGACCATGAAGCACGTTTGCAACAGCTTTCCCCTTACAGTCGAATCGCAAGTGTTCCCCTCCCTTTCTTACTAGATCTTCTTCCCTTCATACTTTTCGAGAGTTGCTTGCTGCTTTTTTTAATTCTCTTTCTTTTGTCCTTTATCTTTGTTACCACTCGAAATCACTGTCCAAATGACATAATAGTTTTCCTCCCTTAGAGTAAGAAAGCCCAAGGCACTTACTTGACCACCACGCCCAGCT